CTTGGGCCATCCTCCACTGCACTCCCTGGCCACAGCAGAGAGCCGGACTGAAAGAGGGGCAACCGGGACAGAATCCGGCGCCCTGACCGGGACTAGAACCCGGTGTGCCAGCGCCACAAGGCGGAGGGTTAGCCTAGTGAGCCACGGCGCCGGCCGGCGTAATCTCAATGAGCCGAGCACCATCACCCGTCCTTGGGGCACTGTGTGGGCCTTAGAACTGACATGCCGGGGAAGCCAACGGCCAGAATGGCAGAAGCAAGACTTCCCTCCTAGCACCTGGCACTGTAACTTGCGTCTTTGTTCTCACAACATGCCACTGAGATTTAGGGAAGCTGCGGCTCAGGGAGTCAGTCCAGTTGCTCAGGGTTTGTCAAGCTATAAGCTCAGCTAGTAAAATGCAGAAGTTGGCTTTGAATCCAGGCTGCCTGAGCCCTGCTTCCCCCGTTCATTCTCATTTACATGGCACAAGAAGGCTAGAAAGGACCGTAACGCTGAGTCAGGGAAAGCAGCTGCAGACGTAACACAGGGGATTGTGGGCTGGAGGGACAACTATGCTGCAACACTGAAAACCAGGTTCAGAATGGCTTAGCGATGGAGACAAACAGATAAATTTAGGGCTGCCCTCTTCTTAACAACAACAAAAAAACCTCCACTGTATCCCCTTATTTTAGGCAGTTTCCTTCATCCCAACTGTATCTGATGTCTTTTTTTCTTAAAGATTTATTTATTCATTTGAAAGTTAAGAGTTTTAGAGAGGGAGAAAGAGAAACAGAGAGAGGGGAGAGAGAGAGGGAGAGGGAGAGGTTTTCTATGCACTAGTTCACTCCCCAGATGGTTGCAACAGCCAGGGACGAGCCAGGCTGAAGCCAGGATCCAGGAGCTTCATCTAAGTCTTCAACATGGGTAGCAGGGGCCCAACTTGGGACATCCTCCTGTGCTTTTCCCAGGCCATTAGCGAGAGCTGGATCAGAAGTGGAAAAGCTAGGACTCGAACCAGTGCCCGTATATGATGCTGGCATTGCAGGTGGTGGTTTATGCCATAATGGTGGTCCCTAGGGCTGCTTCTTGATACCAAGGAAGTAAAATTCCAGTTTTGGTTTGTAAACTAGAAAATAAACTCTAAGAGAATATGAGTATTTGTATCACTGTATTCAAAATCCCTACAACAATGGCACACAGCAGGCACTCAATAAACTTTTGTTGAAACAGTAAAAGCTGGGGGCCAGCACTGTGGCACAGCAGGTTAAACTGCTGCTTCAGACATCAGCATCCCATACTGGAGAGCTAGCTCATGTCCTGGCTGCTCCACTTCCGACTCAGCTCCCTGCTAATGTGCCTGGGAAGGTAGCTGAAGATGGCCCAAGTGCTTGGGCCTCTGCCACTCAAGTGGGAGACCAGGATAGAGTTTCTTGGGATTCTGTCTTTCACATAAATCAACAAATCTTAAAAAAAAAAAAAAATCAAAGTCATACAAGCGGATTTCTCAATTGAATCTCCTTGAAGGTTCTGAAATAAAGCTAGCAAAGTAATTAAATTTGGAAACCATTTAAGGTGAGGGGAAAGCATCTGGTCTAGTAGTTAAGATACCAAAAGTACCTCACTGTAGTAGCTGGGCTTCTGGCTCTGCTACTGACTCATTTCCTGCTAACGCTGGTGCTGGGAGGCATAGTGATGGCCACATAGTTGGGAGACCTGGATTGGGTTCCCGGCTCCAACTCACACCAATGAGGTGAGCACTTGAGAAGTGAACCAGAGGACGAGAGATCTCTCTGTATCTCAAATAAATAAATAAAACTTGAAAACGAACCAACCATTCAAGCTTTTAACCATCAGCTCTACAACAAAAACCTAAACAAACCACCACTACCAAACAGATTGTGACGGAATCCAGAATTCTGACCTACTCTTTTCCTATTTCAGGAACCAGTGTGAACAATGTATTAACTGACAAGCTTTGGAAAAGGAAATGGTTATCTAATTCAAGCACTCTAAAAAAAGTCAACAGTTTTTCACAATAGATGGCAAGTTATAGGATCAGTCTCAAAATCATTAACTCAAAGAAGTAACAGAGTAGACTTACAAAAGTATTTCTCTAATTTTGATACCATGTTTCCATTAGGACAAGCCAAGAACACCAAAACAAAGGGCATTAAACAAATTCTTTCAGACAGCAAGCCTCCCCACACAAACACTTTAACACAGAACCAGTTTCTGAGGAGTTTCCCAATTTTTCACAAGCTTTTCTGATCTCTTCTTCGACGGAACCAACGACTGTCACTACCACAAAGCATCTTTCTTAAGAGATGTACTTTATATGTGGCTTTCTTCTCAACAGTTCTTCAAGCTGCTTGTCTTTCAGCTCCAGCAATTTCTCTTATTTCTATTATACTACTGCACTTCTCTCATGAAATAGCACAAAGCCCAACTTAAAAACTCCTTTACTTTCCAAAAGGCATCGCAATCAATATTCTAACGTCATTTCCTCTTTTCTACTTGGCTTACCACCTTTCCATAATTCAGTAATTCCTAACATGATAGTATCAATTGTCAAGGTGATCACATTTTCCTTTATGTTCCATTAATATAAAAATGGAAATACTTTCTAACAGATTAACACTTACTTGAGACAATCTACACACTCCTTACTGTCTATTAAAACCAAATGCGAGGGAGGGCCTGTGCTGTGGCGTAGCAGGTAAAGCCGTAGCAGGTAAAGCCGCCGCCTGCAGTGCCAGCATCCCATATGGGCGTCAGTTCAAGTCCTGGCTGCTCCACTTCTGACCCAGCTCTCTGCTATGGCCTGGGAAGGCAGCAGAAGATGGCCCAAGTCCTTGGGCCCCTGAACCCACGTGGGAGACCTGGAAGAAACTCCTGGCTCCTGGCTTTGGATCGGTGCAGCTCTGGCCCTTGCAGCCATCTGAGGAGTAAACCAGCAGATAGAAGAGCTCTCTCTGTGTGCCCCTCCTTCTCTCTGTTAACTCTTTCAAGTAAATAAACAAATCTTAAAAAAAAAAAAGTACAGATAATATTTTGTCTTGCTTTTTTGGTCAACTACTACAGCAATCTTGTGGTCTTTCAAAATATAACTCAATTGATTTTAGGGTCTCAGGTGGATTTTTAAAAACGTTTACAGAAGATTAAAAAGTACACGGTAACACTTAGACGAAAAAATTCTCTAACTCTAAACCAACCAGCTTTTTAAAGGGCTAAAATTTTTTCTTTTTTTTTTTTTAAGATTTATTTATTTGAAAGGCAGAATTACAGAGAGAGGTAGAGGCAGAGAGAGAGAGGTCTTCCATCCACTGGTTCACTCCCCAGATGGCCGCAACTGCTGGAGCTGCGCCGATCCGAAGCCAGGAGCCAGGAGCTTCCTCTGGGTCTCGCACGTGGGTGCAGGGGCCCAAGGACTTGGACCATCTTCCACTGCTTTCCCAGGCCATAGCAGAGAGCTGGGTCAGAAGAGGAGCAGCCAGGACTAGAACTGGCGCCCATATGGGATGTCGGCGCTTCAGGCCAGGACTTTAACCTGCTGCGCCACAGCGCCGGCCCCTAAAGGGCTAAAATTAATTACAAATTCAGAAACGAATTAGGTAACAATTCCAAAGGGAAAACCCCACAAAACCTTTATTATTTCGTAAGTCCTTTAAAAGGCATTATCGTCCTAGGTTCGCTGATAGATGTCTCAGAATGACTAAAATGGCTGAGAGCTCACAAACCTACAAGCAGGCCGATTCCTGCAGTACAGACACCCAGAGTACAGTGCGCCTGACAGCAGGAGCCAGAGAATCAAGACTGCTCAGTGCTTAGCCCCTCACACGGTTCTCACCAAAACTGGGCTGTGGAAAACAGTTTCTTTACTTAGTGTCCTTCTCCCCATCCTTAAAATCTGAGCTGTCTCATGACCTCTGCACCCTGCTTTAAAAACACAAAGGACGGATCCCAGTTTTGAACCAGTGAATTTAATGAAGACTACAGAGGGGGCGGGGCACGCATCCGCATTAACTCCCACCGAGGCTCCCCGGAGCGCCACGCCAGGCCGTTCCGGGCGGAGGGAGTCGTTCTCGGGCACGGGCGAAGCCTGCGGCCCGCGTCGGCAGGTGTGGGGCCCGCGGCCGCCGGGGGTCGGCAAGTGTGGAGCCCGCAGCCGCCGGGGGTCGGCCGGTCTGGGACCCGCAGGCCTGGGGCCCGCAGCAGCCTGGGGCCCGCAGCAGCCGGGGGTCCGCAGCAGCCGGGGGTCGGCAGGTCTGGGACCCGCAGCCGCCGGGGGTCGGCCGGTCTGGGGCCCGCAGCAGCCGGGGGTCGGCAGCTCTGGGACCCGCAGCCGCCGGGGGTCGGCCGGTCTGGGGCCCGCGTCGGCAGGTCTGGGACCCGCAGCCTCCGGGGGTCGGCAGGTGTGGGGCCCGCGTCGGCAGGTCTGGGACCCGCAGCCTCCGGGGGTCGGCAGGTCTGGGACCCGCAGCCGCCGGGGGTCGGCAGGTCTGGGGCCCGCAGCCGCCGGGGGTCGGCCGGTCTGGGGCCCGCAGCCGCCGGGGGTCGGCAGGTCTGGGACCCGCCGTCTCGGGCGCCGCAGCAGGGACGCTCCCTGCTCCAACAACTCCCGAACCCGCCTGGACCGGCCGCGAGGACCGCGCGGGCTGGCACTTCGGCGAGAGAGGACTTTCCACCCAACACGTGGGACCCAAACTCACGTCCAGCGTCACCACGGGCGGCAGGTGCCGGGTGACGCCGACCACCACCCCGGAGCCCGGAGCCCGGAGCCGCGACCTCCGCCGGGCCCTCCCCGGCACGGGAAGCGGGCAGGACACCCCCCACCCACGCGACCCCTCACCCTACCCCCACAGGAAGTGCGCTCCGGCCCCCTCCCCCAGCCGGAAGTGAGGCGCCCCCATTCAGCGGGCCTCAGACCAAGCCCATCCAGCGACAACGACAGCCCAAGGGGGCTGGTCTTCGTGAGGGGCGGCTCGGCGCGGGCCACCCCCGAGCTCGCCTTGCGTACTGACCTGCTGACGACACGGGCAGGCAGGGCCCGGGGCCTAACGAAAGCCCCTGGCACAGAGGACAGTCCCCTCCAGCCCCTCTCAGTCGCCTTCACTCTTCACACTCGGACGCCTCACGGCCGGGCGGAAATCCCTCCGCAGCACTTTGGTCCGCCGTCCTTTCTCTCTCGTCACCGAATCTCCCCGCCTCCTCCCCACGGGCGGCGACTCTGAGCGCGGTAACACCGCAATTGTCCCGGTGAGGAGAAAAACGAAACATTAACCCTGACACTTTCGGACAAACGCAGGGACTATTTTGTCCCACTGCGGCGAAGGGCTACGTGATTACGCAAGCGGAGGGACTGCTTTTCGCGGAGGCTGCTGGGAGATGTAGTTTTATTGATTGCTAAGGCCCACAGAACGTAACGGGACTTAGACTGGTCATTGCTACACATCGGAGTCCTTGAAAACATACGCTCTGTATGAGACGACATACTGACAGAGAGGGCTCTGGCACCCCGACTGGCCAGGACTTGGTCTCCCTTTTCCTCTAGCAGTTAATTGAACTCCAATTTCCCCTCACGCCGACTCCAGGTCCCGGGGCCCCGCCCACCGTGTTTGCCACGCCCCCTCAGCCCGTCCTGGCAGCCCCGCCCTCTGGCATAGCCACGCCCCCTCCGCCAATCAGACGCCCTCTAGGTCCCGTCCTTCGGAGGCCGGACCGCAGCGAGGCGGGGCGTCGAGTCGGCTCCTCCCCCGGGGCGGAGGGCAGACGGGGAAAAGCGCCCAGGGCCCGTGCGCGCGCGCGTGCTCGCCCCTCAGGAGCGCGGCCGGCGCGGGCGCGCGCGGAGGGGCGGCGCGCGGGGCCGGAGGAGGCGGGCTGGTGGGCCGGGCGGACGGCGAGCGGCCGGGAGCGCGCGCTGGACTCGGCGGCGGCGAGTAGTTAGTTAGTTGTTAGTCAGTGTCAGTGGCTCGGCGGCGGCGGCGGCCAGGAAGGGGACGGGACGGGCGGCGGCGCCGTGTGCGCCCCTCAGGTAACGGGGGCAGCGGGTGCCGGCGTGCCCCTTCTCCTCCGCGGCCCGCCTGGTGGGAGCCGGGTGGCCCCGCGTGCGGGCGCTGACCCCTGGGAACGCGGGGGCGGCTGGTGCGTCCTGCCCGGCGCGGGCTCTCGCGCCCCGCCGGCGCCCCTCGCTCGCCGCGGCCCGGGGCAGCGCGGCGCCCCCCTGAGGAGGGAAAGTTGGGAGCTGGCGCCGGGGGGCGCCCCCGGGCGCGGCGGCGAGGCTGCGGGGGAAGCGGAGCCGGGAGGAGCCGCGCGCGGCCCGGCGCCCCGCGGGGGCTCGGCCGGCTTCCTCGCGGCCCTTGGGCTCCTGCGCTTTCGGCGCTCGGCCGTTGCCTCCCCGCGACGGGCACGCGCCGTCTGCACCGCGTCGCTCCCGGGGCTTCGGCTCGGAGTTCGCCTCCCGTGGCTGCGCTCGAGCCGGCGGGGGCGACAGCGACGGGGCGCCCCGCACCCCGGCCGCCCCCCGAAGCCGGACTTGCGCCGTCCGAGTCGGGGCATCTGGGCGCCGCGGAATGCAGGGCTCGGGAGGCTGGCGCGCGGCGGGGAGCGATGGGTTGCAGGAAGGCTATGATTTCATCTGTATTGGCCTCGCTATAGAAGAGCCGATCCATTTTTCTTCCGGCTCCGTCGACTGCGGTCTCCAGGACTGTACGTTGGATTAGACACTTGCAGACTTACCTAAAAGACTATTTTTAGGTCGTGGGCCGCCGTCCCCGCAACAGCGTTCACCTGACTTGACGTTGCCTTAGGGGTGTGTTTTGGGGCCTACCTGTGCGGATTCTGTCTCAGCTTCAGGGTCCCCTTTTCTGTCTTTTCCCTTCCCTGGTGCATGAGGCGGTGGAGTCCTGAGTGCGGAGAGCCCAGGGGTGCTCTGCGCAGCCTGGAAGTGACAGAAGCGGGAATTGGCCACAGGGGTACAACTTTGCCTGCGCAGTGCTGGGGACTCACTTGGTGGTGGCTTCTCCGGCGGTCTCAGCGTGTCTGGGGAGCTCGGGGCCCGGCACTGCTTCCCCTCGGTGACTCGTCTAGGAGGCTGTAACGGCAGGTACAGCACAATTCCTGGGCTTCCAAGATGGGAGTTGGAGGCTGAGCCCAGGAGATGACCACTTCACAATGGGGCAGAATTCACAGCAGCACTGCCAATCAGTCTTGGCTGGGAACCACGTGCAGACTGTGTGAAAAAACAGGCCCCTTCCCAGAGCTGTCAGAGGGGAGCAGGGCAGATGTCTTATCACGTCTTCATTTTGGAGACGAGCGTGACTGTATTATGTGGGAAAAGGGTCAAACTATTTTCTCCAGTGCTTTCTCCCTGTGTAGTCATCCCCGCCCCCCCACCCTGGACCCCTTTCGGGGCTGACATTTGTGGTTGCCAGGTTCCAGGGTGGGAAGAGGAGTGTTTTGGTGAAAGGAAGAGATAAGCTTGCTTTGAACTATTGTGATCCTGTGGCTATTATTACCTAGTGATAATGCAGAGAAACTTTCACAGTAATGTCCGCCACCCATTAACATTCTCTCAGAATTCATTTTTTTAAGAGTCTGCCCTGAGGCCCGTAAAGAAATAATGCTACTCATAACTGTTTCCTGACAATCACGTTAAAAATGTGATCTTGAAATGGATTATATGCATACGCATATAAACATTTATCTTTGTACATTTATGGTAATGTAAATATTTAAGTCCGAGAGCTGAAAAACTTTTATTTGCTTATTTGCATACATGTTTTTCAACAGCTAGCAGTGCCAACAGTATTTGCCAAATAAGCATCAGCCATAAATTCCTGCTTTGGCACATTTCGTGTAATAACTCTTCTAAATTGCCCCGTGGCGAAGCATCACGAGATTAGCGTTTGCTTCATGAGAGAGATTTGTTGTTGTTGTTCGCTGTAATGATGTGCTGCTTAAGTGGAACAGGTGCTGGGCTCTAGCTGTTTGCATTGAAACCCGCCAAATCACACTCCTTTGTTGGATGGGTTGTTTAAGCCATTTAGGATCCAGACTGTGGCCCCTGGCGTGCCGGGTGTGAGTTCAAGGCTGCACATCGCTAGTGCAGATCCCTGGTTTCATGATCAGAGGCAGGTGTGTGTGGGATGAGCCTTCTTTTTCTCATTTGTTGATCTCTTTACTGTGACTCCAACCCCCCACCTGCTAACCCTTTGCCCCTTTGATTACTGGAGTTCCCGGTGAAGTCTAGCCTCCTGCACTGTTGGGTTGTTTTCCTTATAGAACTGGAAATTCTAGTAACTTTGCGATTTGTTTGACAAATGTTTGTGTGCCTTTTTAAGTGTCAGGCATGGTGGTGAGATCTGAGTATAAGTACAACATGCCTTTTTGTAGGGAGCTTACAGTTAGGAGAAGAAGGTAGCTAATAACCGATAATTACAATATGGTGTGACATATGGCAGGTGTGTGTGCTGGTTCATGTGCATGGTGGCACGGAGGAGGGGTAGCTGACTCAGAATTGGTGTCTCACAGGCGGGGAAGGAGTGTCCCGGAATCTTGGTGGGTTACCTGAGCTAATTTTGAATAATACATGAGTTAAATAGGTTCAGAAAGTGGAAAAGTACATTTTACAGCAGCGCTGCCCTGTAGGAATGTATTATAAGCCACAAATGTAAGTCACATATGTAACATGATTTCTTTTTATTTTTTTAAGACTTATTTATTTGAAAGACAGAGTTACAGAGAGGTAGAGAGAGAGGTCTTCCATCTGCTGGCTCACTCCCCAAATGGCTGCCATGTCCAGAGCTGCGCCGATATGGAGCCAGGAGTCCCATCTGAGCCCCCCAGTGAGTGCAGAGCCCCAAGGACTTGGACCATCTTCCAGGTGCATTAGCAGGGAGCCGGATCAGAAATGGAGCAGCTGAGACTTGAACCGGTGCCCATATGGGATGCAGGGGCTTTAACCCACTGCTCCACAGGGCCGGTCCCCCTATTTTCTAGTAACCACATTTTAAAAGGCAGAAAGTGAAAATAATTTGAGTAATATAACTTAACCCAATATATGCAAATTATTCATCATGCAATCCATGGAAAAAGTGACATTGAGGTAGTGGACACCCCCTTCCCACTGAGCCTCCAAAACCTGCTGTGTACTTCACGCTTAGAGCTCGTCTCGGTTTGGACTAGCTGCATTAACGCACTCGATAGCCACATGCACATGGCTTCAGGATAGAGGGGACTGCGTAATGAGCCACGCCCCTCACTGCCTTTTTTTTTTTTTTTACAGATTTATTTATTTACTTGAAAGTCAGAGTTATGCAGAGAAGGAGAGCTAGAGAGAGAGAGAGATCTTCTATCCACTGGTTCACTCCCCAATTGGCCGCAACGGCTGGAGCTGCACCATTCTGAAGCCAGGAGCCAGGAGCTTCCTCCGGGTCTCCCACTTGGGTGCAGGGGCCCAAGGACTTGGGCCATCGTCTGCTGCTTTCCCTAGCAGAGAGCTAGATTGGAAGTGGAGCAGCCGGGTTTCGAACCGGCACCCTAATGGGATGCCAGCACTGCAGACAGTGGCTTTACCCGTTACACCACAGTGCCGGCCCCTCATTGCCTTTTGAACTAATCTAAGAAGGTTCAGTATTAGCCAGAAACCTGTGATGATTTAGTGAGGGGGTGGAACACGCACGCTGTGTTTCTGACCTTCTATTTTGACAGGGGCAAAGCTAGAAGCAGACCGGCGGGGAAGCTGCTCCTGATGGGATGTAGAGAAGGGGCTGGACATCGGAGAGGTTTGGCAAGTGTTCCCAGCAGGGCGGGAGGTCAGGTCACGGACTGATCCAGACTGCAGAAGTGGGCGGTTCCCACATTGCTGTTGGGAACTGCTAGGTAGATGGGGCAGGCAGCTGAAGAGAAGCCAACCATCTGTGTCAGCTTGGTCACTGAGGCTGAGGGAGCGGCACGGTCAACCCTGATGTCTTGCCATGGAAAGGACAGTAAGATAAGGACTAAATGGAGTCTCTGAGACTGGCTGATTAAGACGTGTTAGTGTAGCTTCAGCTGGAGCACTTGGCTACTTTGTAATGCGCTGGGGTTGAGAGTGAATGACAGCTGGAGTGTAGCTAACTGAGAGGGGTACAGTGTTCTCAGCAGAGAACCTGAAGGAAGGAGAAGCGAGACTAGAGACCTTGGGCGTGCTTCTGCGAGGCTGGAAGAAACCGGCGGAGGGAAGGAGTTGAAGAGCAGGTGTATGGTATGCAGGGCGGTGATTGATGCAGGCAAGGACTGAAGGCAGCTGGAAGGGATGGGATCCAGGGCGTGGGTAGAGAATGGGTCTGGTGTAGGAGTGAACAGAAAAGGAAGAGGT